TAAAATATTCTAGTTAAATACTAGTATGTTGAAGGTGAAATCATACCAGTTCGTTATTTACAGTCCAACAGTAGCGGGAGTAATAACAATTTTCACCACTGTTTGTATGTTGATGTTATATCGCCAGACCGCGGCTGAATTATATTCTCTACTATGTTCTATTGAAGTGTGCAAAGTGACATCGACTGCTGTTTCGTCATATTAGCCGAGTGGTAAGAGGTTATCGCTATAACGCTTTCAGGCCCCGGTTCGAATTACGCTAGGTGCAAATTTTTTTTCAATTTAATTTTTTTTTTAATATTTGGTAAAACAGAATTTTTTAATTTTATTTTTTGGTGAAAAGGAAATTTTGAATTTTTTGTTTTAATTTTTGGTGAAATGGAAATTTTTACCTCCACGTCATTCGTATGTTTTTTTTTTGTTTTTAGTATGACACGGCTGAGTTTCATTTCCTAAAAAATTCTGTTGAAGTGTGCAGATTTCGTTCCTTCATATATCTTAACGATAGTCTGGTGGTTATAGGTCTTCGGTGTGGTGCGTGAGGGTGTTGGTTCAATTCTCACAGCCGACAAGCTGTATTTTATTTCATTAAATTTTTTTTTTTTTTTTTGGTGAAGTAGAAATTCAACATGCCGAAATGAAGTAGTATTAAACTAGTATGGAGCTGATGCATGGTAGGACAATTGTGAGCTAGCTCGTGTAAAAATGTCAACTAGTTGAATTCTAGTTGACAACTAGTGTTTTCTACCTGTAGGGTATATATAATATTATATATATATGTATGTACATACATATGTGTGATTCATAATATTTTCTTTTCGTTATTCATATCATTAATTTTTCCAACATAATTTAAACATGAGAAATAAATATATACACATACATATGTATGTAGGTAAGCATGTGTTTTAAACAACAAACAAAAAATTACTAACAACAGTGAAAGTTACCACGCGCGCACACACACACGCACACAACTGCATACACTAATTTATATGTATATATGTATGTATGTTAGATATTTATAGCTAAAAATTATTATAATTTGTTAGTGCAGCAGTGGTTAGTCGTAGTTATAGACTTTAGCGGTCACTATCTGAGTTCCGATGTAGGCATATACATACATAATTACACACACACATACTGACATTGATGCACGTGCATATATGAAAGTGTTCCCGTCAAAACAAATCTTCAAAGATCATGCCTCATTTAAATACGCACTACGCAAGAAAAAAACCTTTTTTATGTGAAGAGCTGAAGAGACATAAAATTTTGTTGAAAGAACAAAGATGAAATTTCCCGTTCGTTTCGCCTCAAAAATGTGTGTGAACGCAATTTATGGCTTGAAAAAAATTTTTTTTCTTTTTTTTAGTTACACGGAACAGTTGACCATTTGACTAAACAATGCAGAAATAATATATTTTTTTTTGTTTTGTTAATTGTTTTTCTGCTCATTATTTTTTAACACATTTTTAAAAGGTATTTCTTTATATTTTTTTTACATATTTATTAGTTTTAGTTCACCGAATATTAACATTTTTATTCAAATTCTTATCTTGGCCTTGGATGTGTTCTTTTTTTTAGCTCTGTTTTGATACAATTTTAGCGGAGAACTGCTTCGAACCGTTTAATCCCTGGGAACGGCGATATTTTCCGAAAGTGTGTTAACATCGTACCTTTCTGACAACACATTAAGACCAGAAGGTTTCCGGAAATGGTTATTTTTCGATATTTGCGGTTTGATCATCGTGAATTAATTTCACTGAGACAGACAAAGAATTATTTGCGCGATTTGAGGCGTAAAGGACCGGAATTGCAGGTCAACAATTTCCAGAAACTTTCATGACGATAATACATCATCGCACCGAGTTGTAGTTGTGAGTCAATACCATCGATCAACCACCGTATTCACCACATTCACGGGGTTTGAGTTTTTTGTTTCGATAATTCAAGTTACCACACCATGAAACCCGTTTCGACTCGATTGAGGCCGTAAAAGAAAATTCACAGAGAGAACTGAGGTCGACTGGTTTCAACAGCTGCTGCAAGCATACTTGTTTGACAGATCGCGCCCACTTTAGGCATAGTAATTAAAAACAGTGCTCCCAACTCAAAAAAAATGATGAAAAATATTCAGCAAGTGCAGTTTCACTGACAATTTCCGGAAACATTTTGGTCTAATATAGATCGTATAAATAATGATGCAGACCTCTGGAAGCGAGGCTTGTTTTCATCAAATTTACTTGTTCTCTCTATTCGAATCAATACAGACGAAAAGTTCTAATCTCAAATTGTAATCATTTGAAAGGATTCTAGACGTTTTCACCAGCGAAAAGCTGCTGCCAGTCCACTTATCAAAAGCGAAACATGCCTATATGAAGCGTAGATTCACTAAGTTGGCACTGCACTCAGTAACACAAAATATAGAGCAAGCTCTGGAGCTACAGGTATACACTCGTGTGATTTTCTCGATATAAGTAACGCATTCAACAATGTCCCCAAAGGAGCAATCGTAAAGAGACTGGAGGCAACCCGTGTAGAATCTGTCATCCGCCAGAGCGGCAGAAAGATTAAGGCAGAATTGAAGGAAGACAGGCTGTACAGACTAGAATGTGGAGTGTATAACCAAAGCTTCGCGATCACATATAAGCACATAAGCTAAAATCCGATGCAGATGGATAAATACTCTTTAGGAGAAAGTGGAATTCTTCGACGTTTAATGGGGTGTCGCTAATAATTAAGAAACACTCCAATTACCTGAGAGTAATTTTGGACAGTAAATTGTTGTGGCAGCTCAATGTGGAGGGGAGGGTGAAAACGGTTCGTAAGCTTGTAAGAACATGCTTAGGTGCCAGGTTGCACAAACCCCCTGCTCTAATGCATTGATCCACCACAGCATTAGTCAGGTCAATCTTTTTGTATGGTGTTTCGGTGGGATGAACCGCGGCTAGCGAATCTCGTACAGGAAACCATTAGAACCAATGTATAATGTGAGCTCTTCTGCTACTTCCAACTGCCGTGCTTATGACATAACTCAACCTACAAGCCTATTATTTCAAAGGAATTGCAGCGACATCAGCTTTGAGATTACTGACTTTAAGTGGGTTTTCCGCTATAACCTTTGAACAAAGCTGACTAAACAAAAGTATGGTGGACAACATTGAGCGAAACTGACCGCGCTCTATTTGTAAACTAAGTTTTCAAGATATATTAAAATAAGATGGATGGCGCAGGAACAAAAACCGGCGGATGGAATGAGAGCCGGCGTCCATGGTGCTGAACTAGTTCAACCCTTTGAGCTTGCGAAGAAGTGCAATACCCTAAGGGTGAGTCTGAGAGTGAAGAAAGTTGTTGTCAACACCGCAAGAAACTACATAAAAACATGCACGTCCTTAGATGAAGGAAGACAGTGCATAAAGTCGCTACAGGGAAGCAAAAAATTATTATATTGCAAAATGTCATCTCTACGGCGATCGAACCAATGCGGGTAGTACGAAAGTCGCTAAAGACGCTATACAAAAATTAAACTTCATAAAGAGCTGGAAGACGAATCAGCGTAAGTTGGTATGCCACAACGGCACAGAAGTCCTTCAAAGATATGGGTAATGGAAATCTATACCAATTTTTATTTATGCGGACTCGAAGGGTCAGGAGAATAATTATATGTCCCCGATTTGGACACCTGTTAGAGTGAGAATTAGTGGCCATAACACATATAGAAAGTGTAGCGTGAAAGTCAAGCGAGAAACGTTGGAATGTCGTCTGTGTTTAGGATCTTCTTAGACGTTTAGAAGCTTCATTGTTTAGAGCACCGGAAAACTGGATATCAAGGTCCTATTAAACTGTGCGTTGACTTTCTATGCGGCGATTACGTTATCTCAATCTTGCACTAAAAAGGACCAACAGGTCAATGTAAGGTGACTGGTAGGAAACCTGGTCAGATCGATAACCAAAATTATGTATAGAAAATTAGTTTTAAAATTAAATTTTTTAATTGCGGTCGCCTTTCGGCAGTAAACGTCAAACCCACTGAGGGTATTTTCGGAAGTGAATAAGAAGCTCCTCATAAAAATCCATCAGCGTTCGCATGCGCTTAGTGTATATATTAGGACAAGGTCCATTTGTTGGAAACGCATTGAGCAGCACACCACAAATTGGAGGAGGAGCTCGAGCGAGAATTAGCAACCCCTCATAATAAAATTTTCTCTTAGTGCAACATATTTACTTAGTAGGAGCGTATCACAGTGATTGGTTGATTAAAGTATGTTGGTTTCTTTTGGAAAAACAAGTACAGTCGACAACAATTCGTCATTCAGAGTATAATTTTGCAAATCTTCTCGAATATTATTGTATTTGGTTGCACTTAAGTAGCCATCCATGCTCCTTTTACATACATATATAAATATTGATACATAAATTTGCTTTATCTCCAACTCAATGACACACTTTGGCATTCAAAGCGGGGAAATCCCAGTAATTACACTACGGTCGCTGGCCATTCTTGTTTGCTGTCGTAGGTTTAACTGTACGAAATGTCGTTGAATGCCTACATTGGATCGATTGTTCTCAAAATATTTCAAAATATTATAATCCTAGTCGGCAGGTCTCAAAGGAAACATTTCTAAGCGTGCACGTATGCACGCATATACCATAAATATGTATGTAAACAATTGAGTGCATGTCAATATGTATGTTTATACCTTCTCAAAATTGAATTGGCAGCATAATATGGAAATACAGAATTTTTGAATGGCAACCAACACAAATAGAAAAACAAAAGAAAATGTTGACCTTACTTCCGTAAACCTTTAAATCCGCACCAACTCATGTCTAGACATGATCGTCAGCTACTCTTTGTATTGGTGGCGACACGTCGTAACTCGTAATTATTCTTTTCGCGGAAGCGCGCAATGACCCAGCACCGACCAATTTCAACTATGCCATTTTCCATATGACTTACATACATACACGTACTAACACCTCAGAGGGTTTTGTTTGCAAAAGTGATTTTCCGCAGCTTAAGCGACGCAGCGCTCCAGAAACGCCCAGCAGAACTATAAATTTAACGCTTCAAAGGTGTATCATTTGGGCAAGGATACACACAAGCGCAGCATTTGCGAATCGCGTGCCCGATGCTAGCTGCAAGGAAAACTAAACGCAGGTGTGCAACAATGAGCACATTTTCCTCAAAATCAACAACAATGCATGCCTGCGGCTAAATAACCTACAACCACATTCACAAACACACACACACACATTTGTGAGTGAGCGCGACGTAGGAGGCAGGAGGACTTCCAGGCGCGAGTATAAAAACGCGCAGCATGCGAATTATGCTCATCATTTGCATATTAGCCGCTAACGAGTATTTTTCAGTCAACAATTATTGCGCTTCACATACAATATTACTTTTACTTAACGGTATTAAGTGTTTTCATTTAATCAAAAGGCATCTGCTCACTTTTGGAGTAAATTAAGGCTGGAACAAAAGATTTGTTGCATTGCGTCGATATAAAATAGAAAATAATAATAAAATGTCTACTTTAATTTTGCGCAACTCTAACTCCAACAACTACAATAATAATGCCAACAACAGCTGCGATAAAGCCAATACATCAGTCCACTATCAACTTTTCATGCATAAGGAGGAATTGCGCCGACGCGAAGCCGACCAAGTGCGCATCGCCAAATCTAAAATCAATCTCACTCAATCGCATATCAAAGATAACATGGAAAGAGTAACTGACAGCGACGCCGGCCAAATACGCATTGCCAAATCAAAAATCAATCTTACCGAATCGCTAATCAAAGACAACATGGAAAATGTAACGGATTGCAGCATGGAGACCCTGGAAATCATCCACCGCGAAATGTCCTTCCAGAAGCATTTGCAATCGCAGTTAGTACGCTTTGTGCTGCTTGTCAAAATGGGCTTTATGCGGAGCATCGGAAATGGTCCCACAACGTCAAAGAAGAGAGTGCATCCAAAGGAGAAGCAAAGACGCTGACTTGACTTGTCTATTAAATTTTGTTAACTTATTTTGTAAAATGTAATGTTATTGTATGTGAACGAATGTATTTAAGTTAGTTGGCTAAGTATTTGTGTTATTAATTGTGCAGTTATTTAAAATTAAGAAAATTTGAAATAAAAATTTTCAAAAACAAAACAAAAACCGAGGGTTAAAATTTGTCTTGCATCAAGTATAGTAGATATTTTGTGTCTAAGAAATACGTGATAAGGTGCAACGTGATAACCGCGCCATCCGGTCTTCCCATTCGTCTAATGGTACAACAACAAAACACTTGCAAAAAACATGTTGCTATGGGAGTAATATCCTATACCCAAACCTAAAGTCCCCGAAAAGATACTGCGACTTACGGAAGGTTTGAAGACCTAAACAAACTTTTGTAAGACCCAAAAAGGTGATCTAGTGACGAATGCTCAGAGTGTGATGAATTTGTGGAAGGAACACTTCTCCAGCCTGCTGAAATGTGTAAATGAAACACACGGAGATGGTGAGCTCGCAGCTACAATCGATAAAAATGGAAAAGACGTTCCACCATCCGATTGTGTCGAGGCTCGAATAGTGATTGCTTTGCCCGCTTAAAAAACAACAAAGCAGCTTGGGCTGACGGCCTACAGGCAGAGCTATTCAAACATTTCGGCGAATACAATATACATGCAACAGCTTCTTCGCAAAATATGTTGGGATGAAAACATGCCCGATGATTGAAAAATAAGTGTGCTTTGCCCAATCCACAAAGAGGGCGATCCCACAGTCTGCGCCAATAGACGTGGTATAAGCCTTTTGAACATCGCCTATAAGGTTCTGTCGAGCATTTTGTGTGAAAGACTAAAGCCCACGATCAACAAACTGATTAAGCTTTATCAGGGTGGCTTTAGACCTTGTAAGTCAGCCAATGACCAGATATTCACCATGAGCCAAAAAAGATAGATACGCTCCACCTCTTCGTCGATTTTAAAGCCGCCTTCGAAAGCACGAATAGGTGCCGCCATGTCTGAATTTGGTATCCCTGCAAAACTTATACGGCGGTGTAAGCTGACGCTAGACAACACCAGAAGCGCAGTCAGAATATGAAAGGACCTTTCCGAGCCGTTCGGTACCAAACGAGATTTCAGACAGGGTGACTCTTTGACGAGTAATTTCTCCAATTTGATACCTGACAGAATAATAAGAGCTGCAGAGCTGAATAGAGAAGGTACAATCTTCTATGAGAGCTTACAACTACTGGCGTACGCCGATGATGTTGACATTATCGGCCTCAACAACCGCGCCGTGAAATTCCACAAAATAAAAATTAAGCGACTTTTAGTCAGTTTGAAGACCGCACCTTTTCCCTATAGGAACGGGAAAGGGGATCTGAAGACTGACGTTCTGAGTACTTTGAGTTTATGGAGCAAACACTTGTCCATCAGCTGACTGGGAGTGAAAAGGAGACATCCGAAGATGGTGATCCAGAAACTCCAATCAATGTATTTGGTATAGACTGGATATCAACCAAATATAAGGAAGCGATTGTCCCCTTACAGAATAACTAAGAGAGAGAGCTGTTGGATTACCGTCTGAGCTATGCAGACTAAGGTCAGACGAACGCATGCTCTATGATTTGAAACTAAGCATACTCTGCCAAAGCAATAGGAAGAAGAATAACTTCACAGTTTAAGCAAATTATCTTAGGATTAGTCTTCAAAATATTGCAGATGAAGTCCTGTCTGGGGTTTTGAGGCTAATATCGAAATGCACCAACACTGAATATGCTCCATATCTGGGAAGTGAATCGAGAAAACAGCACCGAAACGCACTTTCTCTTCGTCGATTTGCGAGAGAATAAAAATAAGCTGCTTCTACGAGGCTATATCTAACCCTGTAAAACTTATGTGAGTATATAAACTGACAGCTTGAGTGCCCTATCAACCGGTGATACAGCGAACCGAGTAGGCTTTTGAAAAGTAAAATTTTCACTCAACAAAATAAGACTAAACTTAGATACTTGGACGATGACAACATCTAATGAGTCAGCTTTGCGAGACTTCGAGAGAAAGATTTTGCGGAAGACTTATAGTACTCTGCGTATAAGCGACGGCAAATACCACAGGCGAAGGAACGATAAGCTGTACGGGTTGTAAGACATAGTTCAACGTATGGAAAGGCAGTCGCTACGCGGGGCAGGTCATGCCAATAAGGTGATGCAAACACCGTAACTCTAAAAGTATTCGAAGCAGTAACTGCTGGTGGAGGCGGAGGAAGAAGAAGACCTCCACTCCGTCGGAAAGTTCAGGTCAGAAAGAACTTGGTTTCACTTGGTGACACCGAACAGCTGGGAGAAGAATTCAATGGCGCTATCATATATTCTGCTACAATCGCGTAAACGGTGCCCACACCAAAGAAAATTAAGAATGTTGCTCCTCGGCAAGAAATGCCAAAACTATTGAGTGCATATCTGACATGAAATAAAAATATTTTGATAAATCCATCAGTAGTTTGGAGGCGGCTCAGTATCAACCGTAGGTTCCTCAAGTTACAAGAACATCAGGACCAACACCACAAATTAGAGAAGGAGCTCGGCTCCTTATACATATATTGTACATATACTATATATAAATATATATATATATATATTAAAGCGGCCGCAGTAGCTGAGTGGTTCGCATTGCGTACTGTCATTCGGAAGCCTCAAATTTTAATCCTAACATTCAAAAAGTTATAGAAAATTAATTCAAATACAAAATTTTCTAATTGCGCTTGCCCCTCAGCAGGGAATGAGAAGCCCTCGGAATCTTTTTCTGACATGAAATATAAAAGCACCTCATAAAACTACCATCCACCGTTCGGAAGCGGCTTAGTACAAACTGTAGGTCCCTTCATTTGTTGAAGAAACATCAAGACGGAAGCCCACAAATTGGAGGAGGAGCTCAGCCGAAAATCGCTTCAGCGGTTACAAGGCGCCAATTATATATGTATATATATATATATATATATATATTAACGCTAAAAGTATGCTAGGGAATTTATTCAATCAATATATATGTATATTTAATTGCCGTTATATACTTATATTCCACTAACCTAAAACAGATAAGCAAAAATGGTGAAATAAATTTTTGCCAAGCAGACGCTTTAGTTAAAATTACTGCTGATCACTTCGAATATCAACATTAAAATACAAAATAAAAAGTCTCCAAACAAATAAATACGTATCATTATCGCGAAATTTCGCTTTAATTACAGTTTCCACTCCGTCTAAGATCGCTCCGACGAACTAGCAACGTTTTGCTGCTGTCACATTTACTTAAATATGGCCAAATAGATGCATACTTACATATATATTATATATGTATGTCTGTGCATATGTATAACCATAGAAACGTAAATAATACAAAAAAAGTGAATAGAAATTTATTTGCAGATAATGACATACATAAAATGTAGGAGTGGAAATTCCTGTTCTTATCGCAATGCCACCATAGTCAACAAGCCAAAGTGGCGTAGCAAAGACATCCGTCAGTCGATCGAATGGCTCGACTTGGCCATAAAAGCCTCTGAGAGATGGCAAACAATCCGAAATAACCGGTAAAGTGTTGGAAGTGTTTCAGGTGACTAGCAGTGCTGATCAAGTATTAGAAATAATGTATGTACATACGTATGTACAAACTCAGATATATGCATATACATATATGTTAGTATGTAAGTAGCACAATGTACGACAAGCTACAGGTGTGGTGAAAGAGTTTAGAAAAAAGTTAATTTTTTGTTTCACAAATACATTCTATTTATTATATTTTTTTTTAATATTTTTGGGTAAATATATAGATCTAGAATAAGAGTGAATAATACTACATAGCTACATAGTGTTAATTGTCAGTTGAAACGATGTTGAGAAGCTCTAACTCAAAAAAACATAAAGAAGCATGCGAAAAAAATGAAAAAAAAACTAAAGTTTCCTTACCAAAGCCTCCAGGATGCTGAGTTACGAGCATAAATAAGGCAAGAAAAAAATAATAATACTTACAAATTCTAAGCACACATTTTTATAAAATTTTTATTAATTTTTAAAAATTTATTTTAAAGCTTATCCCTTAAAATATTATTTTAAAACTTTTTTTATTTAATAAATTACTAAAAAATTCAAAGATTGGAAATTAGATTTATTTCTAAAAAAAAACTAGATACCTTTATAAACGAATAACATATCATTTCTAACAATTTATTTAAAATAAATTTGATATATATAATAATATATAATAATTTTAATAAAGTTGATATGCCTTTAATAAATTATTGGATGAGTGCATAAGTTCGTGCCCGATTCCGCTGGATGCCGTTCGAATCGTTTGAGAGTGGCGCTCGTGAAAGAAATATATACATATTATATATCGTTGGAAAGGTGACAGTCCGAACTGTAAATCAAGCATAAAATAACTTCATTTTGATTTGNTAAGATACACTAGAATTTTGTTTCGGTATAAAAGTTAGCTTACGCGTTTTGTCTTTCTTCAGGAATATGCAAAGTAAGAAAGAGAGCAAAAAAATTTATATACTGAAATTGATTGATTTGCATCTTCGGTTGCTGTGATTTCGAATTAAGTTATGTTGGAAAATATAAATTCACGCTCTAGTTTTCCAAATATGTGGTCATACATACACACAAACACATACATACATACATGCATGAGTATAAGTAAATGGTAATATTATCCAACTGACAACGCTTAATCAATACGATACTAGCGAAAAGCTCTAGAAGTGCTGCATTCTGTGGCAATCCAAAGACGAGATGCAAGCACGAAACCTAAACCTTAAGCCAGCCAGCCAGCCAGCCAGTCAACCACCACCACCACCACCACAACGATAGCAAAAGTGCATTGCAATGTATACGCACGAATGCAGCATGCACATTCATACGCTGTGGGCAAATACCGATTTCGGATGATTGGAAACCGGCAATGTAAAGGAACAGTCAGCCAAGCAGCCAAACAGCCAACCGAGCTGTTGAAAGCCTTAGCGAGCGGCGGCGGTGTGTGAGGCGAGGGCAACGAGTGAATACTCACGCCACCAATTCCCACGATTTGTGTTCGTTGTTTATGTTGTTATTTATATAGTTGTAGTTGTTGTTGCTTTGCAATACTTTTTTGTTTGTTTGTGTTGTTGTT